TGCCACCATATTCAAATTCATAAGAGTCAAGAAATGATGATGCAAGTTTCAAATGTAAAGTTCTTGCGGTATATTCATTTTCTCCCTATTTAATCACTTTTAAATTACATAATCTTACAAATTTGTGCTACTATAGAACTTGGTGCCACCAATAGGCACCATTACAATAAAATAAATAAATAAATAAGTTATATGAAGTAGAGAACAAATAAGTGTACACACAACTCTACAATAACATTATGGATCAACCTATTTACAGAACATTAATGCCCCAAATAAGTATATGAGATAGTAGATTAAGAGCCATACCCTTTGTCTGAGTCTCTGTTTGGCTATTTCAGTGAATGCAGAATACAACAAACATGTTGTTCGGTCATGCCTGTGACAATAAACAGAAAATATCATTGGAATAATCCGATCTAATTTGATAAATAAAAGCAGTAGACAAAGGAAAGATCATATATCCCTTCATCAATTAAAAGGCATTATTATTATAACGATGTTAAAAATTTGTGAAAACGCTCTATTCTTGTATGATAATGGCACAACGATCTACCAGCTGACAAATTCCTTCTCCTTTTCAAGCGGAAGAGACAGTCTTCCGTATCTGAAACATAGGAGATCTGGCACATAAAGCTTTCATGATTAGTGACAGTAAGAAAATTGACCATTAGTGACCAACACAACATGAATAACAACCAAACCAATTAACAACCAAACAGCAGCACACAAAACAACAAAACAAGGCCTCACCAGAGCAGCATGAATACATTTAAGCAACTAAGACAACATCCCAACGCAGCCAACCAACCATCCTGCCATTAGATAGCATCTAAGCATAGCAGTCAAGCATCAAGCAGCCAAAGTGGACAGAAACAACAGCGAACACAGAGACAGAGCAGATGTGCAAATCTACCACAGATTGTGAGAAAATCAGCCAAATAGCACAGCTGTCCGAATGGAAAATCTAAACTGAGTATGAATTTGTTTTCAATTTTCTGCCAAAGTTCATATAAATCGTAGAGGAAATTAATTACAAGGGTATTAAGTTCATAGAATATGAATGTTGTTGGGAAATTGGGGTCCGAACAAGAAGAAGAAGAAGAAGAATCAAGACATAGTTAGTCTATGCAATTGGTTGCTAATTTACTAAAGAACCAAGAGTAGGCATGAAATTCAAATTACAAGGTTCATCAATTGGAGAGGTTGAACATTGCACAAAAGTAAGGAATTGTACATAACATCTAACAACGTAATACAAGAAGAACAAACACCATAATCTTAATTGCCCCCATTACATCAACAAAACAAGCCGGACAAAGAAACAAACTGAGTTAAAACTCTAGGTCCGTATCTGTATCAAAATCACTTTCTATCTCATCTTCTTCGTCATCACCCGAGATTGTTAGTTCATCATCGTCATCACTGATGAAAGCATCATCCATAACACCCTCGGGTTGTACACGCTTATTGGACTGAGAAACTTCCATTGAAATAATTGCAGGTTCAATGTCATCACGACTTTATACATATTAGAGTCTTATAATCACTTTTTAAAATCATTTCTTCTTTCATGGGGTTAATGTAGTACATGATTTGCCCATAGTTTTTAAATTCATTGGTCTTCTTTCATGGGGTTAATGGGTACAAATGTGAGTGGCTTTTGATGATGACATATATAATTGTATTAGAGTCCTACTTGTTTTTATTTTTTTCTTATTTTTTTTATATATATGGACCCAAAATTGTATATGGTTTTAGCCACTTCAGTGACATATTGTCTCACTGTTCTAAGATTAATAGCTTGTTTGGGGAGGCATTGAACAAGATGCACAAATGGAGTCCTCTATGGCTAAAGGTCAAAATTGCATGAGCATATTGTTCACCTTTGATGACTTAGGAACAATCTTTGATTACTTATGGTTTCTAGGAATTCTTCAAGTTTTACATTTTCTCGACAAAACATTTTCATGTAAATGTCTTCCCAGAATAACATGTTACAGTATTAACCAAAGGCAAGAATAGAGACAGAGATATGTTAAATGCTCAAACTGTCGAGCAATATAAGATGGCCCCAAAATCTAGTTAAATAAATAAATAAATAAAAAATAAATAAAAAAAATGCTCCAAATAAAAAATAATAATTTAGAAATTCTGTAATACACAGGATTGAAGAGTTTAGAACTGGAGCATTAAAACATACAATGTGCACCAAAATGTTTGCTTATTATGCTGTTTAGCATAAGTAAGAAACAGAGGCACATTTGGTGATATAGTTCAACTTGTGGCAAATCGAGAATCCAAATCCACAATCCGAAATTTCAACCAAACCCATTCACGAAATCAGAAAAAGCCGTAAAAAATTGTTTACGAAATAAATGGAAAATGAAAGAAAAAAAACATGTCAAAACCCTACTTGCATCGTGAGAGAAGGAGATGAGAGAGACAGCGAGAAACAAATACAACCAAACAGACCCAGATCGACAGAGAGGGAGAGAGACGACAGACACATACCTGTAATCAATGGTGGGGCCGATTTGCAGTGGTCGTGGTGGCGAGCGCCGATGGCCTGCGATGGTGATGATCGGCGGTGGTGAGCGACGGGTTTGGTATCGACTGCTCTGTGTTGATGTTGGTGTGTGAGACAAAAGAGAAAAAAAAAAGTGTGTCTATGTGTAATATATATACTGGGCGCCAATATTAATTAGTTTCCCTCTAAACAAATTTCGAAGCTTTAGTGACTAAATGACTATTTGTCGCCAAATATCCTTAACAGCGACTAAAAATTAGTCGCCAAAAGCTGCTTCTTTGGCTACTGAATTCAAATTTTCGTCGGTAATATTGAATATACAACGACTAACCCAGGTTTGGTCGTCAAAAATTCATCAAAAATATGCACATTTTTAGGTGATAAAAATGTTTAGTCGCAAAATGAAATTATACGGCGACAAAATCAAATTTTAGTAGCCTACAATGGTAACAAACAGCGACTAAAACTACATTTGGTCGCCAATAAATATATATATGGCGACTAAAATAATTTAGTAGCTAAAAGATTCAATCAATGCCGACTAAATCAGGTTTTTAGTCACCAAAGCTGATGTTTTTGGCGACTAAAATTGTTTTGGTAGCCAATTTTAGTCGCCAAATATGCATTTTGTTGTAGTGGTACCACCTGACAGCCAGGGGGCCCAAACTGTTGGAATACGGCACATGATTGTTTCATCGTCATCATGTAATGTCATAGCTTGTTTATAATGTCATACATGATCAGTAGGATCTGACCGACCATCATACAAAGCAAATGATGGTGCTTTAAACTTCTTGAGAAGAACAGCCTTGGTTATTCGCCAATTGAACGGATTATGCATATCCTCCGAGCCGGAATCATCATCCTTTTGTTTCATGTTTTTCATGCCCATGAAGTGTTAAAGTCTTTAGACGAACTAGAGTTGTGAATTCAGTCAGGCTTCCTGGGTTTGCTCCGCAATAAACCCATAGAACTACTACTCTCCCCACTCCTTTGAGAGTGAAGCTGGTTAGATTGTCTGATCGAAGATCGGCCACGTTCATAACATAAAGCTTTCTGCAACTTTGCCAACTCTTGATGCAGAAGTTCATTCTTTGCTACCATGACATCAAAATGTTGTTCATTGCATTTAACCTAGTCTAGTAAAGTTTGCATGGTATCTTTGGCTGACATTGGCAGTATAATGGGAGTTAATGGATCAAAATTCAGAGTTCGTCGCGCGGGAGTTTCATCTAGGTTGGTGGTATCTCCCCCTGTGGAGATATCAACTTCGTTGGTCAGAGGATCAATCACAGGGCTTGCCATGTATGAGTTTGAATATTCCCACATATAGCGCCAATTATGAGGAGTGATTCTACAATATTCCTTTAATCTAAACAGTCCTTTGCTTAATCCTCACTCCGGTGCCTGAAATAGAAAGCACTCTGGTCGGGGTGTCGAAATTAGCACTCCAATGGGTAAGTTAGATGAGGAAGGTTGATAATCTAGTTTTCAAGAGAGATTGAGAGTTTTGTGGGTTTATGGTGCATACATTTTATCTCCACTTCCACTTTCTTATATAGCCATTTGGTATAGATGTTTCTTCTATACTTTTTGTCTTTCATCATTACTTGAATGTGAGGACCTAGTTTCCTACTACACCTCCAGAAAGGGACATCCTAAGCCTACCTTATCTTCTTAGCATACGTACGTGTCGTTTACACTGGTAGCCCTCAGTCAGCATTCTCATTGGTCAGTGATTGTGCTGCTTGGCATTGAGTTCTCATCAAACCTATTGGGCCTGATTCGATTTGGGCTTGATTCAATTTGGGCTTTATGATGAATGTGCATTAGCATCTTGTTTGTCGTTTATCTAGAAGAATTACTTGGCTCACACAACTGTGTAAAATATTTGGGATACTATAAAATAAATTATGGAGGTCTTCACACTACAGGAAATATGTGATATAATGGCGTTTTTTTTAACGGTGTTTTTGTAAACGCCACATTTTCTAATATTAACGACGTTTTATAAATGTCGCAATTTAATTTAATAAAAAGGTACCGTTTACCCTGTTTAAAAACGCCTTCGAATGTATCCCACATTTTAATTAAATAAAACGGTACCGTTTAACCCCTTTGGAAACGCCTTCGAATGCATCCCACTCTCACGTGCTCTCTCTCCCTCTTCAAACCCTCATTCTAATCTGAGAAACCCTTCTTCTCACTTTCACTCACTCAAATCAGAGAAACACCAGTGTATAAATCTCGCTCGCTCGCTCTCTCTAAACCCTTAAAGTGATTTCGATATCGAAGTTCGGTGATCCAATCTCAGAGTGATTTCGATTTTGTAGAGCAGAATCGATTTCAATATCGATTTGGAAGATACGATTCAACCTTCTTCAGCTCAGTGATTTCGATTTCGATTTCGATTTCGATTTCGATTTCGATTTCGAAGTTCTCTCTCTCTCTCTCTCTCGATTTCGAAGCTCCACCACCACCACCACCACCACCACCAGCATCGTCTACTAAGGTGAGCACTACTGTCTACAATCTCGATTTCGATGTCGAAGTTCTCTCTCTTTCTGTCAAAATCTTCATTCCGCTGATTCTTCTCCTAGGGTTTACAGTCTTGAATCTCCTTCTAGGGTTGGAGGTGAGGTCAGATTGTGTGTCAATCATCATTTCTATGGCAACTTTACTTTTTGTTGTGCTTAAATATCTCAATTGTTTAAATGTTGTTTTGATTACATTTCAGTCCCTTTGTTTGCGATTTGATATGTTAGCAGTCTCTTCGAATGTATCCCTCTTATGTGTTTTTTTATTTGTAATTTTTAATCTATTCTTTTCAGTTTAAGGTAATGATGCATATTGCAATTCATGACTCCATAATTCAAATAAATATTTTCATTTGCAGCCACCTTTTTTTTTTTGGGGCCAAAAATCTATGCAATCATGTATTTACTCCATTTTGTCATTGTGATTTACGCTATTGGCTTTGCATTGCTTTATTTCTCATTTCTTACTTTTGCTCTGGAGTTTGAGAATGGACAATTTTCTGCACATTTTATTTATCTCATTACTTTTACTACTTCCCTTATTGTGAGGTGTCTTGTATTTACCATTCACTCTAGAGTACTGTAAGGGGCCTTTTTTGGGTAAGGTTTCATAGAGAGTGTTATAGAATACTGTGTTGCATTGAGAGGTTGAAAGTCTTCTTATAATCCTTATTGAGTATAGTGGATTTGTTCTCCATTTCTGCAGTAGATGTAGGCACACTCTGCCAAACCACGTATATCTTGTGTCTTGTTTTTGCGTGTGTGCTTTTGTTCTATTATTTACTGATTGATTGTGTAATTGGAATCACAATTCTGAAAAACATCTCTACTGACAAGATTGATAAAAATTTTCATTAACCAGTTCTGTTCTTTCGTATTGCAGGAAAATGGGTATCATTTACTTTTTCTAAGCGCACGTGCTATCTCACAGGCCTATCACACTAGAGAATTCCTATTCAACCTTAATCAGGTGATGAGATGGAGAGTCAATGTCACGAAAGTGATTGGTGTTATCTGCTGTCTGTTTCCTCACAGATTCTATTTCTCTCTTTTGCAGGATGGAAAGGCTTTACCCGAAGGGCCTGTTGTTATTTCCCCTGACGGACTGTTTCCTTCCTTGTTTCGAGAAGGTACTTGGTGTAGTGCTCTGTTTATTGAAACTCATTCATGAATTGCCTGATTTTTGTAAATTCCACAACTTTATTTTCATGCAAGTGTAACAATCCACACATTTTGGGTTTTTTGCAAATTATATTGTTTGATCCATTATCTGAAAACAAGAATAGGAATGATTTGCAATCTCTGCAAATAGCTTCCATTATTCCGCAACTTTATTTTCATGCAAGTGTAACAATCCACACATTTTGGGTTTTTTTGCAAATTATATTGTTTGATCCATTATCTGAAAACAAGAATAGGAATGATTTGCAATCTCTGCAAATAGCTTCCATTAATATGTACATCTTGCATATATTTAGTGCACTGAGAGATTATCCTATCAAAATTTTGTAGTCATCAGAAGAGCTCCTCATGAATTCAAAATTGCTTGCTTAGAGGTTGGTTCTTGTCATCTCTACTACACAGGTATCTTAATATGTCTGGAAGAGAGAGGTTCTTAATTATGTTTGTTTAAATATGAAGTTCCAAGCACAAACTCGAGCTCATCAACATCAAGACATGGATTTGATTCTCAAATTGTAAGTCAGAAAGATTTTAGTTTCCAAGAAACATTTGTTGACAAGATTCTACTTTTGAGTTGCCTTAATTGGGTTTGGGAGTTTGAAGTCTATTGTTTTAAACATTAAGCTGGAAGTCATAGATATCAGTCGAATGCCTTTACAACTTTTCAAACTCAAGGCAATGTCAGGAAACATGAGATATGTTTTTGTCCAACACTAATATTATTTTGCAGATGTTCTGATGTCTGTACAAACATATATGTTATGTTAATTGTATGTGTAAGCACATGGTTGTGTACCACATATTTTTTATGTGCCTTTTCAGACTTGCGGAAAATCTCCCAAAGCTTTCTAGACCTTATATAGATTACAGAATTGCCTCTCACGCTTTTTTTTTATTATTTATTTATAAACTTTGCACTTTGGTCACTTGATGTTTGCCATAAGTTAAGATTTGATTTTTAATTAATCTTCATTAATATTTGATTACTACCATATGTTGCAGAGTAAACTTTTATTATTAGTTTCTTCCTTGTGTCATTGCACCCCTATGTTTAGATAATTGTTTACTACAGTTGGGCGTTAGCTCTTCGGATTCCAATCCATGCTAGCTCAGGGTTGATTCTTCTCATTCCCCTCAGATCATCATGTTAGTTGGGCTAGAGCAGATCTGCACCAATCCTCAAGTTTTTCTAAGTCAAACTGTGGATTTGACTGACCTGCTCTCTTCTATATGAAAGTTTTAGAACTGTCATTCTCATTCTCATTCTCTCACTCTTAATTTGTGCTATTGTGACCTATATTTTTTCTTATCTTTTTTAGCCTGAAATGTCAGATCTGTGTTTGTTTCAGATTTGAGTTTAGCTTATAATCAAGTTGTATGAGGAAGTTTGATGCTTTTTTACTTTTCACAAAATCTTTTGTAGCTTAATTTTGATACTATATTCTTTTCTTCTCCTTCATTTTTTTTTCCATTTATTTTATGGAACTATTTTTGATCCATCATTGAGTTATGAAGAGCGGGAAAAAAGGAAGAGACAGGCTGCCGAAAGAGCTGTTTTTCTCTAGGATCTGCTATTCTCAACTCTGTTAGACGACTAGTGAAGCAGCAGTAAGTTGATATAGAATAGCTATAAAATTGAGTAATTAAATGATCATGATTAGGGGCAATTTGGGTATGGTCTCGCATTGTTCGACAACAACCCAACGTCTAGCCCAATCAAGTGTTTTATTGAATAATTTCAGAGGTAATTATTCTTTCTCCTTCCTATATCTTTCTATAATTTTTTTTGACTTTAACAATGAAGAAAAATTTGAAATGGCAAGTTTTCTAAAAAATTTGGACCAATTTCATTTCATCAGGGTATGCCGAAATAAGTATTTAGTATCTGTGACCCATAAAAAATTTCGTTATGTATCTGTGACCCATAAAAAATTTCGTTATGTATCAGTATCTGTTAATCTATTTTTCTGCTGCTGTGTGGTTGGTCTGCTACTCTGTATCTGATGCTAATCTGCTGTGTATCTGCTGCTGTTTTTGGCCTATAACTAAGTCTAAACAAGGGGGCCTTTTGTTCTCCAACTTGTTCTCTCAAGTTTCTAACCATCACTTGTCGAGTGATTTAATTACTTTCTTTTTTGCTTTGATATTAGTTTCCTTTTTTTCTTTGTTTTGGGTTTAACAAGAGGTTATTGTGATCCATTCAATGCTTCAGTTCTCTACTTGAAAGGAAGTAGACTGTTTTTATTCTGTTTTATTAACATGTTTGTTGTGCTTGTAACACTTCGTAGAAAGTATTTATCCTACATGTTTTCTTTCTGCCGTAGCCGGTGGGTTTCACATAGAATACATTGTAGTGGCTAATGGGTACTCCATTGAAAGCGTTCTGTTTAAATACAAGTCAATTCTAAGTGTTTGCTACTGAATGGGTTTTGTAAGTCTCGTTCCAAGATTGATCCTTGTGCAAAATTTGTCTTTTGCTCTCATTGCAATTTCATTTGAGATGCATACTGATGAATGAACATAATATGAAACTTAATATTACATTTATCTGAGTTATTATTTCATCGCTTCTATTCATTAAATTTTTTTGTTTTTAAAATTTACTTTTCAGCTTCTACTTGCTGTGGGAACTAAGCTGGAGCATGTAATCACCCAGTTAGCTCACGAGGTTGCAGAGAAACACATTGCAATTGAAGGGGAATTAGTAGTGCAACCTTCAGATAATCATTTTTGGTTCCATCGGCCCCCCATTGTCCTTTTCTTGATGCATTTCATACTGTTCCAAAAGGCTTTTGAGATAGCATTTTTCTTCTGAATATGGGTAAGATGATATATGCTATCGCTGCTTGTCATCTTTTGTCAAACTTGACATCTGAAGCTTTTACTGTTGCATGAAGAATTGGTCCCTGTTAGAGAATGGGCAGTTTGAGCTACAATTTGATTTCTAGAAAATGGGAGCCAAAAATTATTTGTTTTTGGTGATGATGGCTTTAATTTTTTTTGTTGAATTTTGATACTATGTACAACAGAATGGTTCAATCCATTCTTTATATGACACCCAAATTCATATTGAGTTGATTCTTGAGTGATGACCAAGAATTTATTCTTTCATATTCTTCACAGTCAATTGACCACATGGGTTTGTTTGTTTCAGTCCACTGAATAGATCGAAGAGAACAGCTGAAATCATTTGGAGTGCTCGCAAGGAGGAGATTATTACTGATTCTGATCTGAGGGAAATTGACCTGTACACTTCTTGTCTGGCAGTGCTAGAAAGTCAACCCAGTTTTGTATATTGCAGGTATGTGTGGAGGTGCAAGATTTAATTATTCTTTCTCCGGTTTTAATTTCCATAATGGAGTTGGTATTTCAATTTTGCAATTGCAGGTTTATTACCGATTTCTGTCCAGTAGCTGAAATGGAGCTTTGGACCCTGTGAGATTACTGATAAATGATAGATAAGGTATGTATAGGAAAGAAAATATTATATTGGATGAGGTGGCTTACATTGACATGGTAGTTTTATAAACTCTATTGAATTATATTATTGTATATATCAAATCCCAGACTTAGCATCATTCTAACAGGAATAGAGTAGTCATTTTTTTCAATAGGAACACCAAGCTGGCCATAGCTAGTCCTTCACCATTCTCTGCTGCTCCTAATTTGGAATAAGTGACTAGGCTAAGCTCTTGTTTCATTGACTGCAATTTTGGTGCCATGAATGCCTTAGGCCTGCATCTTTCCATTTTCATTAAACTCTCTCCAATATCTCTCAGAGTCCACGCAAGTGATGACCCAACCACTTCACATGGTTCTCTAATTGATTGTCTTAGAGCTGATGAGGGCTGATGATAGAATTTGAATAAAATGTCAATATATTATTATATTTTTAAATATGATTGATGAAATCTAGGGGATGAAAATTTCAGACCTGTCTATGAGATTGAAGACACTCTTTTAGTGATACAATGGTAGTAGCAAGCTCTCTAAGAACATCTCCAATTTGTAGGTATTTGTCCCAGGGATAAGAAAGCCCAAATTTTCCATGCCATGGTTCCCATCTTGCAAAATTTGCCTGAAACATACATTCTGATCATCGTAAGCTACTAATTTTTCTGTCTTAGCTAATTAGAGAAGATTTAAATGGAAGACAAAAAAAAAAAGTGGTTAATTTTATGGGATTCTTTCATGCATCTAGGTGATACAGTTCAACCAGTAATGTCCAATTCACTGGAATCGCTTGTGCAATAACTCAATGGCTCAGATTCTTTATTAACGAGTTGGAATTTTGCTCATGAGAATCTTTAATTATTTATTTTTTCAAACATTTAGCTCTTCATTCTAACTCTGTGGTATAATAGTTTAATGAAAATATACCAGAGACTCTTCGCTGGACTTTGAGTGTAACATTGATTTGCAACTGGCAAAACTGGTGTTGGAATGGTTTTCCTTCTCATTGACTAGTCTGAAGTACTCCTCCAAGTATCCTACATTGATGACACAAAAGTACTCTCTATTTCAGAGATATATAGTGTTTGATGACTTCCAAGTTGTAAAATGGAGAAATATTACAGATTTCTCAGAACTATTCAAACTCAAGTTAAGAAAAGAAAGAAAAAAAAAAGAAAAGAAAAGAGGAAAATTCAGTGCAATATAAGTTTCAAAAAATAATTATCACTAAGTGGTTAATTATAATATAAATATTAATAATTAAAATTATGCATTTTTCATGAATATATACAATAATTTTCTTAAATTACCACTGAATGATGATTTCCCCTACATTTTTTTCTTCTGGGGGGAAAGAAAATAATCGAGGTATCAATTTTTATCTTCACTGTGTATTATCAAGTGCTATAATATGTTAACTATATATGTTATAATTTATAAAATTTATTTATTTATACATTATGTAATGAATAGGCACTACAAATAATTAAGATTTTAGAAACTAAAATTTAGAAACAAAATTATTTTTTAGGGATCAAATATTTTTGTTGCATAAAGTATCGTTATTATATTTTTAGGAATGAAAATTAGACATTAGTAATGAATTATTATCTTTCTATGACCAAATTTTTTTTCTCAAAAAATAAATCATTTTGAAACCAAATTATTTTATCCCTAAAAGTGTATTTATTGGTAACATTTTCAAAATTTTGTCGCTAAAAATCTTATTTTGACTTTTCGAGACGATTTTTTACTGACTATCCTTACGACGATAGAAATGGATCCCTAAATGTCTTTTATAACAAAATTTTTACTTTTGGAGACTAAAAAATTTGGTCTCTAAAACTCTTATATGATTTATTCAAAAAAATTCTAATTTTTCGAACCATTGAAGCATATACCCTCTTATTATTTTGCGGATACACAAACCATTGTGTGTGTTATGAATTATGTAATTATTAACATCGTTTTGAAAATTCTTTATGTACTTTGATTGTTTATTTCCTACAAATGTAATTTGTGCTTGTATATGTGTGTGGTTTTGCAGTTGATGATGGATTTTTTGGCAGTTGAGAGGAGTTGATGCCCCATAGGGATTTTTCGAACATTGGCAGTTGTTCCCAAGGGAAGCCAGCTGCTGCAAATGCAAATGATTGTTAGGCACCATTGCAGCATCTGGTGACTGCAAAGAACCTATCAGTTGTTGGAGACTCTTCTGGGATTGGTGATGCCAATAGTGGCATCCGGAGGTGCAAGCGTAAACTTGAGTTCCTTTCTATTTGATGCCTCGCCATAAATATATATGTTTTGGAATATGATTTGTGATGTATATAGTAGCTAGGCAGGTAGATAAGTTTTTGTTTATCTACTATTAGTTTTTTTATGATTTATTGGATTTTTTTTCTTTAAAGGATGTTGTATTGGGTACTATTATAGATTTGAGGGAATAATAATCTCACAGAAATATGTCTATACCAAGTTTTATTCATTATTACTATGTTATAGGTATATTTTTAAAGTTAAATCTCACAAAATTAGTAGTTAAAAAAAAAAAAAAATCTGTTACGATTTTACAGGTATATTTTTAGAGTAAAATCTCACAAAATTAGTGGTTGAGAAAAAAAAAAAATCTATTGCGGCGTTTTTTAAAACGCCACTATAGTTGTTTTTTAAAATAATAAAAATGCTATTTCGACGTTTTTGAAGTGCCGCTGAATGCCTGCGTGACGTCATGTGACTGTTGGCTGCCACATTTAACGGCGTTTGTATAAACGCCGTCTATACTAATTTTACGACGTTTTTAAAACGTCATAAACTTACAGCGACGGCCGCGTCCTCGGCGTTTGGTGGTAACTTACAGCGACGGCCGCGTCCTCGGCGTTTGGTGGTAAGCGTCACTAAAGGGATTAGCGGCGTTTTTCGGACATATAAAAATCGTTTTTCCAACAGTGTCATATACAAAAACAGTTTCCGAAACTAAGTCAACATTTGTATTCCTTTTAAAATCGATTTAGGAAAAACCTTTTTCAATTCAATTGAAACACAAATCCAAGTTACGATAGATTTTATATTCCTTTTTTAAAAAATGTGTAAATTATTTTTTTTTCTATGCAACTGAAACATATAGGCAAATCTTACCTGATTGGGTAAGGGGGCGAAACCTGATTCCTTGTGTGATATGATAATTGAGTATGACACTTTTATCAAAATATTCTCACACTTTTAATATATTTCATCACTCCAAAATAACTAAATTTGTGACAAAAAAATAGCTAATAAAATATATTCTATGACATAATTGTTGAGATTTTCTGTCAATATGAAATAGTAAAATAATTTATAAAATGAATTTTGCTTCTTGGAAGTCATGCATGGAAATGGTGCTTTAGATGAAAAATTATTGGTTGGTCCTGGGACACTCCACCCAGCAACACTGCCGATACGCTCCACCCATTGACGCCACTACCTCACCTCCGCAACCCACTCCACCCACCAGCGCTGCCATCATCGTTTCATCACAACCCCAGTCCCTCATTCATTTCCTTCATTCTTCTTCTTTGATTTACAGTCTAGTGCTTCGATTTACAGCATATCCTAATCCAACTAGTTTTTTTTAGATCAAACATGTATATATATGATAATCCCATTTGACATAACTAGACTTGTAGATTTAACCAGCTCAAGATTGCAAAAATGAAGAGAGAGAGAGAGCTGAAAACATTGATTGACATTCAAACCTTCCAAAGCAACACCAGATTGGAAGGTATCAATCAATTTTATGAACCAACTTACAAACAGGTTTACATAATTTCAAGACAAACCCACATGATTTTAAGACAAACCCACAGCAAACCCACATGATTTCAAGACAAACAGAGTCGAAGTCACTGGTCTCGTAGGAGTAGATCAAGTCGCTAGGCTTGTCGAAGTAGATAGGGTCGCTTTCTTCGTCAGAGTAGCTCGGTCGTTGGTCTCGTCGAAGTCGGCCACCGTTACAAAGAGACGACGGAGGGAGAGAAAGAGTTAAGTCGATGAGAGAGAAGAGAGTAGATCAGTCGTTGCTGTCCACCGTTGGGAAGAGAGAGAAGGAGAATAGATAAAAAAAAAATAGAGCAACAGAGCAATTATTTAGTTTGAAGATCGAAGCCATGAAGATCCAACCCAGATGCTACCGATTGTTCTGACGAAGAAGAAGAAGAAGGTGGAGGAGAAGAAGAAAGATGGTGAACAGTAGTGTTGTAATGATAGCAGTGGTTGGGGGGTTAGCGTTAGGAGTGAAGCCGGAGGTGACGAAATTAGGGTTAAGGTTTGGAAAATTAGGGTTAGAGAGTTAGGGGATGGGGATGGAATTTGATCTTTGGACAAAAATGGAATTAAAAATAAATGAAAAAAATGAAGAGTCTAAAGAAATTAGATATTTGTAAATAGTAGCCCTCTTGATATTTTCATTTAAATCAATAACATTAAATTGAAACACCACATAATTTAACTCTACAAGCACTATACAAAATGCATATAATTAAATAATTGAGTTTTATTTCAGTTGTTTTTTCTGTCATTGCATAATTTTTATTGTTATGGAAGATGGAGCTCAGCAATTGCGAAAACAATCAAAATTAAAGTCTCATTTAAAAATAAGTTATTTTAATAATTTTTTAATTTTTTATAAAAAAAATATAAAATAAATAAAAAAATCATATGATAATTTATAATAATTTTTTAACTAAAATATATAATTACTAAACAAGACTAATATTTTGAGAAATTGGTAAAAAATTAATTTTTTAAATTTTTTTAATCTATTT